ATCGGTCAAATTTAAGTCCAAAACTTTAAACTTTTCTCAAGTAATTTCTTGCTTAGTGCTTCCTGAAATTGCAGGAAATTTACCTTCTGTCACATTCGATAAGAGAACACTTAATATCCCTTCTAATATTACTCTGGCTGATCCAGACTTCAATATTTCATCTCCTATTGATCTTCTTATCGGTGCAGACATCTTCTGGAATTTAATTTGTATTGGTCAGATTAAATTATCACCTGGACAACCGATTCTTCAAAAAACTAAACTTGGATGGATTATCTCAGGTCCATTATTTCCAAACAATACCCTTGCAGCCAGAACTACATGCCATTTGTCGACCATAAACAAGTTGAGCATTGAAGATCAACTTCAAAAATTTTGGGAAATTGAAGAATGTCCAAAAACAAAATTTTTGTCTAACGAAGAACTTTCTTGTGAAGATCACTTCTTAAAAACAACCTCTCTTAATTCTTCTGGTAGGTTTGTAGTATCACTTCCCTTGAAATCTTCCGCCGACAATCTAGGCGACTCTAAGACTACAGCAACAAAACGGTTCTATTCTCTCGAAAGGAAACTTAATGCGAATTTTGAATTAAAAGATGATTACACTCGATTTATCGATGCATATTTATCCTTACACCATATGTCCGTTTCACCCTTTGAAACCACAGGCTATGAGTTCTTTCTTCCTCATCATTGTGTCTATAAAGGCAATAAAATTCGTGTTGTTTTTGACGGTTCTGCCAATACAGATTCAGGTGTTTCCATGAATGATATTCTTATGATTGGACCTAATTTACAAGATGATCTTTTCACTATCATCTCACGTTTTCGTAAACATAATTTTGTAGTAACAGCTGATATAGAAAAGATGTATCGACAAATTCTGATAAAGGAGGAAGAACGCTCCTTACAAAAGATCATATGGCGGTCTAATCATACAAACTCTCTCGAAACTTATACTTTAAACACCGTTACTTACGGTACTGCTTCTGCTAGTTTTCTTGCCACTAGATGTCTTCAAGAAGTGGCACACATGTATGCAACCGATTTTCCCGACATATCTTCTATAATTTTACGGGACTTTTATGTCGACGATCTTCACACAGGTGGTTCTACAATAGAAGATATCAAACGTATTCAATCACTTACTTCCGAATTATTGTCTCGTCATGGTTTTCAATTGAGAAAATGGAAGTCAAACGCACCTATTTTAAACTTAGATAATCAAAATAATGTTTCCTTGGAAATTGGAGCTGACGATACTGTCAAAACTTTGGGCTTATTGTGGAGTCCCAAATCTGACACTTTTCATTTCAATGTTCAACCTATAGAGCACAAGTGTAAAGTTACAAAGAGACTTATTCTTTCCACTATATCAAAAATATTTGATCCACTAGGTTTGCTTTCGGCTGTAACTATAACAGCTAAAATTATTCTACAAGATTTGTGGAAACTAAAAATTTCTTGGGACGAAGTCGTTCCCATGGATATCTTTACGAAATGGGTTACATATCAGACTCAACTGGTTAAACTTAATCAGCTACAAATTCCTAGGCATGTAATTTGTACAAACTACAAGTCAATTCAACTACACGGTTTTTCAGATGCATCCACCACCGCATATGGTGCTTGCATTTATATTCGTTCATCTGAAAACTTTGAAAATTTTCATTGTCATCTAGTTTGTTCCAAAACTAGAGTAGCTCCTTTAAAAACACATTCTCACGGTACCGCGTCTAGAACTTTGTGGAGCTTACTTGCTAGCTGAGTTGATAGACAAGGTAAAACAACACATGCAATTAGATTTCGAAGAAATCACTTACTGGTGCGACTCCACTATTGTTCTAGGATGGATAAAGACTGCTCCGAGTTTGTTAAAGACGTTTGTGGCAAATAGAGTTTCTCAAATTCAAACTTTGACCGAATCTCACACATGGCGTTACGTGAATACACTTGAGAATCCCGCAGATCTTCTTTCAAGGGGAATTTCTCCTACGTCACTTATCACTTCTGAAATGTGGTTTCATGGCCCATCATGGCTAGCTAAACCAGCAACTCATTGGCCTAATAGAACATTCGAACCTTCTGAACTCCCTGAGCTTCGACCAGTATCAGCCCTTATCTCAAGAGTTCACATGAAATTGGACATCATCACTAAAATATCCTCATTTGTAAAACTACAACGCATTATTGCTTATGTATTACGCTTTATAAATAATTGTAAATTTTCTCCTACACGAAGGAGCTTTGACAACCTTTCTTGTGAGGAAATAGATAATGCTTTAAAATGTATTATTCGACTAGTACAAAATGAAACATTTTATGACGATTTGACACACCTTAAAAGACATGGTAACGTTAACTCTAAAAGTAAACTACTTACCCTCAATCCATTTATCGATAAGGATAACATACTCCGCGTTGGCGGAAGACTACATAATTCTGATTTTTGTTACGACAAAAAACACCCCATTGTCCTTGATTCTAAACACCACTTTACTACTATTCTTGTATGAAATGAGCATCTTAATTTAAATCATTGCGGTCCTCAATTACTATTAGCTTCCATTCGTGAAAAATTTTGGCCCATTAATGGACGTCAAGTGGTTCGCAAAATCGTTCGCGATTGTATTATTTGTCGTAGGGTGGCTCCTAAATTAGAAACCTATCTTATGGGTAATTTACCCTCGTCACGTCTTTTTCCCTCTAGGCCGTTCTACAACTGTGGACTTGATTATGCAGGACCTTTTTTTCTAAAGGATCGACACACCCGAAATTATAAAACTATTAAGGGTTACATAGCTCTATTTATCTGTTTAGCAACTAAGGCCATACATTTGGAAGTCGTGAGCAGCTTGACCACTGAAAGTTTTTTAGCAACGCTAAAACGCTTTATTTCTCGACGCGGAAAATGCGCTTCGATCCTTTCGGACAATGGTAGTACCTTCGTTGGCGCAAAAAATGAGCTTGTCAAATTTTTTAATACCTATAGTTCAACTATTACTGACAATTTAACTACCGAAGGTATTAACTGGCAGTTTTATACCGCCAAGATCACCTCACTTTGGAGGAGTTTGGGAGGCGGGAGTAAAATCTGTCAAATTTCACTTAAAGCGCGTCATTGGCAATACAATTCTCTCATATGAAGAATTTTCCACTGTTTTATGTCAAATTGAAGCGTGCCTAAACTCACGACCACTCTCACCAATGTCCAACGACCCTTCCGACTTACTTCCTCTTACTCCTGCACACTTTTTAATTGGATCCACATTGACCGCAATACCTGAACGGAACTTCTTAGATGTCAAGGAAAACAGCCTTAGCAGATTCCAAAGGCTTCAAAAAATGATCCAAGGTTATTGGACTAGGTGGTCCAAGGAATACATTTCGTCTCTCCAGCAGCGAGTTAAGTGGAAAAAACATTTCAACAGTCTTCTCAAAATTGGAAGTCTAGTGACGGTGAAGGAAGATGGAACTGAACCCTTACGATGGTGCCTGGGTAGAGTGACTCAATTACATGCGGGTAGTGACGGCATAGTTCGTGCAGTGACAATTAAAAATAACAGAGGTTGTTTCAAGCGACCAGTGACAAAGGTGTGCGTTCTACCCACAAATCAGTGACTTAGCGAAAGAAACTTTTAGCTCAGCTTTATTTCTTGTTGAACCCCTTCAGGCGTTCAAGGGAGGCGGCTTATGTTAAAACTTTAGATTTAGATATTGGAACTTTCATGCAACCCCGTATACTGCACCTCAAGTTAAGTACACCCCTCGACAGGGGATGCAAGCAGCGGAGGAGAAGACAGTACAGTCCACGCTCATCTCGAGTCAACACAACATCATTTACGCTTAGGACGCTATTTTTACATTGATCATATACAAATATTTTAAATGTGCTATTTTTTTACTTCAATACAGTTTTAGTTTAAGTGATTTGTTTTTGTGTATTATTACGTGAAATTCCAATAAGATTCAACCTACACCCCAACAGAAGTATTGCGAGAAATGGGCAAAGAATGCGAAACAATAAACACAATAAAAATAAGAAAGTTACAATATCTGGGACACGTAATGAGGGGACAGCGATATGAACTGCTAAGGCTGATAATACAGGGAAAGATAAGAGGAGAAAGGAGTATAGGAAGAAGGAGGGTGTATGGTTGAAGAATTTAAGGGACTGGTTTAAATGCAGTTCTATAGAACTCTTCAGAGCAGCAGTAGATAGAGTAAAGATAGTGATGATGATATCCAACCTCCGATTGGGAGACGTCACTTAAAGAAGAAGAGACTTCTCGGGAATGCATTGGCAATGTAACATTTTAAACATGCTCGGTGATATGTTGTCACAAAAAAATAAAGAGCCATTGAAAAAAACGTAATTAAGTAGGTTGTGGATTGTACAGCGATTTTAAAAATCATTAATGGAAGCGCAAGATATTTATGTCATTATCGTTGTAAATACAAAAGTTGATTATAACTATGGTCTGTTCAGTTTCAAGATAAGATCAACGTAAACACAGTCGTTTGCGTGGTGGGTGGGTGTGTCCGTGTCGCCATCGTAATCTTGAGTTTATCACTGGTTAGAAATTAAATGGTTATAGGGGCATCACATTTTGCAATTTTTACAGTGTCGAACCGACTTTCTGCTTTTATAGTGTTCATTTTATTTTCTTATTGATAGTTTTAATTTAAACAAACTGTGTGGATAATATTATTGTTAATTTATATTTAAAACTCTGTTATTGTATCAGTGTATTCATTCTATTTTATGTTTAATTTTATAGGTACGTATATTTTTGTTCATTTACTTTAATAAATATAATAATATATGAATTCGGATGGACAATTACCATAGTTTTCAGGAAAAACAAATAGAATCGACTAAATTGAGTGTTGTTAATTTCTCATACTGGAATGATTGTACTTTTAATGTATTTATAAATGTTTCAAATATTTAGATAAATAAATTTTTGTCACAACAAATTTAATCTAAAATAACTTACCTCTAAGTAGCTTCCAGCACCAACGTTAATATGTACGGCATTCGTTTCTTTGTCTTTGGTGAACAGAATATCAATCGTCGCCTCATTCTGCATTAACAATCTTACATCAAATGATTGCATTTGTCTTTTTTCGCCCGGTTTTGGGGGCACTGTGACTTCCATGGGCAAAAAATCTTGAGGATAGAAAAATTTAAAAAGATGTTCTCGTTGCCGATCTGCCCATGGTCCGTAACTGAAGTCAGTACCTATAATACATACAAATCAGTTGATTCGATTTCATGATGCACGATTTCGGAACCATATAAATCAATATTACTAGACCTTTCCTAAATTTTTAATGAGCATTAAATTAAAGAAAATCGTTGGGAAAAAAATTATATTAAACAAGCTTAAGACTTTATTTACTGGGTACATAAAATAACTGTTTTGCACTTTGGTGTGGTGGCAAAAGGTGAGCAAGACTTACAATAAATTTCCTATTTTTACTGTAAATAAGCTCCAATTTTACTTTAAAATAAAGTAGCACACATTTGTATTGTAAATATTCTGACTGAAGTATTCTGACTAAAAAGAATAAATTAAAGTTGCCACAGGAAAATAGCTTGAGAACAATATTACCATAACTTGTCTCATATTTGGCATACCTATTGGGAATAGACTACAAGAAATCTGTGAGAAATCACTGAGTAACATTTGAGTTAACTTACAACTCACGTCATACTGTTAAAACTGTGAATCTCGTCTAGGCAATCATAGACAATATTTTTAAACCATGTATCAAAGTGAAATCTTAACATATTACAAGATACATATAAAATTTAAATAGTAAACAAAACATCAATATTTCTATAAAAAAATATCATGCAAACATACCTTTTCCACATTTAATATCTACGCCCCATTGAGGAGGGCTAGGTTCTACGATTTCTCCATTGGCTAGAGTAATTAAAACAGGCTCCTCTGGCACTAAACCCGGCTCATCCATGTAAAAATACAATTCTACATCATTGGTGGACATCAAAACAAATCCTTCACCCATATATCTTGGTGGATCATCGAGCATTCCTGTATATTTGATGCTTGGAGCTAACATAACTTTAACATTCTCAGCCTTGCATTTGACGAAGTGCATAAATCTGTCTAGGGTACATACCGCAGGTTTGGTGGAGTAGACAAAGTGTGATTCCTCGAATGTTATACTTAAAGTGGTTGGTACTAGACGATTTCCAAAGACAACTCGACTCTGAAAAGATTACAACCGAATAATGAAGATAAGGATATTATCATCGAGTTAAAATGGTTCTTATTAATTTTATTAGGATATGTTATTATTCGTTTATATCACAGACATAAAATAGAAGATGGACTGACTGATCGTTGCAATACCAGCCGTTGCCCCAGTGCGACAGAGAAAACTGACGCAAAGCAGTACCTGCATCTGTTTCTAATCTTGTATTCTGTGTCTATGGTTTATACCTAAATTTTAGAGCTTGATGATCAATGTGTGCAGGCATAATGAAGTCTCAATATAAGCGTAAATAAAAAATAGCTAAATTTTAACCCACTTTTTCAAATTTTAATTTTCAAGATATAGTATATATAGTATATCAAATTTTTATCTTTTTATTACTGATTAATTTTAAGATGTATTTCAACATAATCACAGAGTTTCAAACTTTAAAAATGTTTTCCTGAACAAAACCAAAAATGTGACTAATCAAGCTATTTTCCTGTGGTCTTCATATATCAATATAGAAAGACATTACCAAGAAATTTATATTTTGTAAACTTTTATTTTATATTTTAATATTCCTGTTTTATGAATAAAATTTTAGTTTGTATCAAAAAAAATTTTATTTAATTTACTAAGACAAAATTTTTTATTAAAGCGCACAAGTGCATCCTTCGCATTTTTAAAAGAAATTCCTTGAAAACTGCGTACAGCACATTTGCACATCTGCAAAAATTCAAAGAAAACTGATTGTAGTCAGTTTTAATATATGTACAAAAAAAAACAATGGTTTGTTTTTTTTTGTATTGTAAAACAAAGTATTGCGTTTAGTTTTAAAAATCTACTACTGTACTGGTCAGCAGTATGTAATTTTTTGACGCAGTGAAAGGGTTAAGAAGGAAATTTTACAGTAAAATGGGATAGTGTTAGGAAGAAAGGAAATTCTTTAAAAATTTTGACAGTACTGTAAACCATAGGAACCAAAATATATAGATCAAATATAATAAAACACTAATATGCACTTACAGAAGATACGTCACATTTTATAACAGGTATTAAATCTCTCCACGTTTTTGCCATTGCAGCTTCGGGTTTCGGTTTTTTCTTGTCTTTTTTTGGTACAACTTGGGCTTCATTCTCATTTCTTTCTGCTTCCACGTCATATTTATCGTTATTGGGGAACATACCAGGAGATAAACCAAAAACTTTTTCTAGCCTTGAGTAAAGATCGGAACGATTATAAACATGTAGTTCAAAAACATTCAGCATCACAGAAAGTCTTGTATCTGAATGGGAAAGATCTAAAAAAATACATATTGGCATAAATAAAGTTGACTTCAGTATAATTTTTTTTAATAGCACTACCAGTTTGTTAACATAATGCCATACATACCTTCACTAACATCTTTGGGAACATAAGATCTCCACCATCTAAAAATTAGATAACCATCTTGAATTCTTAATGTGTAGTCGTGGGTAATGTAGACTAAATCTCTAAACATGATTTTGCCAGATAAGGCATTTAGAGTTAAAGAACCTAAAAAATAAAATATATTATCAATTAAAAGTATCTAGAAAGGGAAAAATTTCCAGTACTTGGCTGGTGTAAAATGGTATATATTTAAAAAAAATTATAAAAATTTTTCCAAACAAATTAAAATTTCCTAATGTTTTTGGTTTTATCACCATCATCCTTGACCATCATATTTAAATTACATATTAAGTGTATTAAAAATTAAAATTTAAGCAACATGATATCAATGTTAAAAGATTGTACTTTAATCCTGCTGTACCGTTCGAGTCAACTATGCAAATGTACTATTCAGGTCAATATGACCCAACTATGATTTACAGTCCTTAATCGAAATAAAATAAACTAATGGTGCTAAAAAAACTTTATTAACAAAAAAATTATAGTTAATTAAACAAAAATTATGTTGCTAATGTATTAAATGTATAATGTAAACCTTATTAACAAAAATAAAAGGCATTTTTTTCTTTCCCAGAAGAGCCTAAGAACAAACACCTACAAAATTTAATTTAGTTTATAACTGGGACAGTAATAAAAAGAATGGGTTTTACAAATATGTTTGTGACATATACAACATAAAATATTAGTCTTGTTGTCGTTTTTAGAGCAACATTTATTTATTCATTTATAGCTGATATATTATTATAACTATATATTATTACTACTATATATCATTATTACTATATATTATTATTACTATATATTATTATAACTGATAGCTGATCACTTAAAAATGGTTTCCATGAATCAGCGAAAAGATTATTTTTGCCTAATATTCCTTTACAAAATTGTTAATAATTTGATAAATTGCCCTGAACACTCTTTATGGAACTAGACATACTTCATTGTTTCATCTGCCATTTCATCAATTTAATTATGAATACTTCAAGCCTCTTACTAATATGTTGAGACTATAATAATAGGTACCAAAGTAATCTGGACTTATTTTTCCAGTCCTTAGAACAATTTAAAAATGTGATAAAGAGACTGCTATTTGTGTAATATTAGTTTGTATTAAAGTTAATTATTAGTTTTTGATATTAGTTTGTATTCAAGTTAATTATTAGTTTTGTTAAACTTTACTATTATTTTCCAATGTTGTGCTTACTTTGTAAAATTTTATATATTATATGTTATTCCAATGTAAAAATGGTATATCCGTTAATAAATAAATAAATAAAAAATAAATAAATAAATATTCATTTATTCATTCCAACGGTAGAACCATTTACAATAAAATACAAAAAATAGTAAAAAGTAAAGATCATGTACAATAAACATCAAAACAATAACAAAGAAACAAGTAAACAGTTAAAATTTGTACATTAAAACAATATATCATATCACAAAAATTTTAAAAAAGTACCAGTATCACATAGTAAGTATCACATATCCAGATTAATAGCCAGATTCTTAAGTTGCCTTTTAAAAGCATTAATGTTTATGCAGAAAGGATCCAATAGGAGGTCATTGCAAGAGCTGAACATTCTTGACAGTGGAAAATGACGAGCATAATCAGTCCTATGAAAAGGAATATGAAAGAGTGCAGTGTGTGTCTAGTTCTATGCATTGTGTTTAAGTGTACATTGGCCAATAATGAGGGAAAATTAATAACATTGTTCAGAATTTTAAACAAAAATAACATATCAGCTCTCAACCTGTGGTTCTTCAATGTATCAATGTTAAAATGAGACATTATTATAGAATAATCTATGAAATAATTTTCAGTATTTTTTATACTAATATGGGCTTTAAAAGCTAAAGATCTTAGAAACTTCCTCTGAACGCTCTCCAATCCATCAATGTATACTTGATGAAACCGGGACCAGACAAAAGAGCAGTATTCAAGACCTGAGCGTACCAGAGAGCAATACAATAATTTAAATACAATAGGTGAGAGATCATGACTGTTGCGATAAATAAAACCAAGATTACGAAATCCTGTTTCCTTAATTTTAAGAAAATGGAATCTAAATGTCAATGCACAATCCAATAATACACCCAAATCTCTAATCTCAGTAACTAAATCCAAGAGTACATTATTAAGAATATATCTATTAGCCATTAGATTATTTATACGACCAAATGAAATACAAGAACATGTAGTTGGATTTAAGCTTAAACCATTTTGTTTTGACCACAAACATATGTTGTTTACATCATCTTGCAGGAGATCTCTATCCGATTTATTACGTATACAACTAAATATCTTAAGATCATCAGCAAATAGCAGGAAGTGTGAGTTTTTGATAGCCTTACCAATATCGTTAATGAACAGGTTAAAAAACAAGGGACCACAATGAGACCCTTGTGGTACACCAGAATAACAATGAAATTCTTTTGAAATATAATTGTTAATACAAACTTGCTGTGTACGTCCCATCAGAAAACTTTTAATCCAATTAACAATGGGATCACCAAAGCCAGATACATGAAGTTTGTGGACCAAAAGATTATGATTAACCTGGTCAAAGGCCTTTGAGAAATCAGTGTAAACGCTGTCAACCTGAATTTTATCCTCAAATGCACCCAACAAGTATTGTTGGTAATTGAGAAGGTTTGTTACAGTTGATTTCCCATTAGAAAAACCATGTTGTTCATCAATAATTATGTTTCTGCAAGCCCAGGTCAGATTTATCGATACCAATTTATCAAGAAGTTTCGGGATTGCTGATTGAATAGTTATACCTCTATAATTGTTAACACACTTGCGATTGCCAGATTTATAGATAGGTGTAAGAAAACTATTTTTCCAATATTGTGGAAATACAGATGATGACAACGATAAATTGAAAATTTGTTGTAAAGGTTTACAAAGGGAGCATGCTCCCTTTTAAATTATTACATTTACAGCATGCTCGTTTAGCAGATTATCCATAGATGGTTCACTAGAATTTCCATCTTCTCTACTCGCTTCTGTTCGTGTTCTTTTTACCTGTTCTTGTGAGCCTTTAGTTCTTTGTAAATTTTTCCTGGAAAGGATAAGTGGTTGCACCAGTGTTTTTCCCAATTTCTCAAGAAAAATCCACTGTTTTGTAAGTTTGTTTGTGTTCCATTGGGGATTTATTTATGTCCATAAAACAAACACATTGTAGGCAGAAATATCCAGCATATTATAAAAACAATCATAGGCCAGCGATTTGTCTTCCTCTTACATATATATGTACCAACAAGCTGATCTAGAGTATCCACTGTTCCCTTACTGGAATTGTAATCTAAAATAATTTTTGGCTTTTTGTCATTTCTGTCACTAATAGCCTTATCATGATGCAGAGTACTCATAAGAATAACATTTTTATTCTTTTCATGGAATATAGTTAACAACAGTATCTGGCGTGAAGTAAAAAGACAAACTATGAACTTTATGCAATTTATGCTGGAGCTCTGGCTGATTTTTTCTTACGGTCCCCAGCATTGTATCTTTTCTTTTTAGAAGAAGTTGTCCTAAATTGTATGATATAAAAAAGTTATAGATCTGCAATTTTAGAGCATACCAAATTTTACTGTCACATAAAGACCAAATTTTTATGCAATATTTTGCTGGTTTGCTTGGAATGTACCGTTTTAAAGGACAGCAGCCTCTAAAGGCAACTAATTGCTCATCAACTAAAAATATACATACACAGGTAATTTTTAATGGCTTAAATACTTGACCTGATCATACAATAGGTAACAATTTAATTTTTATCAAAAAGATAGGGAAGTTGATTTTTTATCGCATATGCAATTGAAATACATCATATTAGGTAATAAAGTCACAAAACACCAAAACATTACGCCATGTAATAATTTGCAAAATAAGAAATAAATTGTTATTTGGGTCAAATATACCTGAACAGGACACTTTCTTGAAACAAGGATAATAACCTATGAGAGATACCTTGAATGTATCTTGAAAGATTTTTGAGGCCATAAAATAAATTGGCTCGGGCTTGAAAGGGGTTTACTAAAATAAATAAACTAAAGCAAACAAATAAACAAAGTAAAGTGTAAAATAAAATTATATATTTTTCAGTTAGGTCATGTCACATCTAAGCTGTGTAGTATAAGTTGTGATATTTTTATGATTTATAAAATGCTCTATTCTTTATATCCTACTTATAATGTATAACTGTTATTATTGATTCCGTGTTATTGATTATTAGTTAAATTTTACACTTTTTGTCATTTCTAATTCAGTTATTTATTATTGAAATAACAATAAATCAGATATTTTAACCAAATCATTGTTTGAGATACAATATATCTATCAGTAAGCTTTGCTACATGTGCTTTAATCTTCAACAGCAGTGTTTGGTAGCTGTAATTGTTACTATTTTCCTTTTACTGTTATTTTTGTAATAGCAGCTAAAATGTCGATAATGTCCAGATATCCATCACTATAAAGAATTTTTTTTACATTAAACCAATGATATCTGGAATGAGTCATTACAATAAAACATCCTAAAATATCATCTGTATTATGTTTAGTTGATTACCAACATCCCTTGTGAAGATAGCAAGTAAAGAAGATTATGGTTAATCAATAAGAGATTTAGACTTAGTTTCTTTTTTTTAATCTCAATAATGATAATCATAATTAGTTGCTAATAGATAATGTGATCAGCTAAATGTATTGAGTCATTGAACAAATATATTGTTATCACTATTAAGTAAGGTAGGCTTTGACAACTAATTTCACATCAATTTTATTGAGTAAGTGATAACACAGATTTTATGTAAATTTAAACACAATATATACAATACCTAAACAATTCATGAAATCAACAGTTGTAAAAAAAGATTAAATAAAGTACAAAATATATTCTTAGTGAAAAAGACAAATTTATAATCATGTAACAAGAATTATTGAGTATAGAATAGTATATTACATAACGAGAGTTGTAAGAAGCTTATTACATGCGAGTAAAAAAGTTGCGCGCGAGCCGCGTAGCGGCGAGCGCAGTAATTTTACAAGCATGTAATAATCTTACAACTCAAGTTGTGTACTATACTTTTTCTACCATTATTTTCGTTTATAAAAGTAAAAATTAAATTACCACTATATTTACACTGACAGTTTAAATTTTTAATCTGTCAAAATAACGTTACCATGGAAACGTTAATTCGTTTCCATGGTAACTCGACCAACTGACTTACGAGGCTTATGTGATATTACACATTTTTATAAAACTGAAGCGTAATTTTTTTTATTACGTGCTAGTCATTACGTGTCAGTATCAGTTATGATGCATTTACTTAGCATCCAAATAGTAGGTAATATACAATTTACTAGTAAGAGAGTAGAAAAAACCATATAGGTATGATAATAGACAGAACAACAATTCTTTAAAATGTGCATTAGAAAACCTCCAAAAATTGGGAGATTGTCTCTTAAGAAATGCAAAGCGCAAAAATAAAAGTTTACAGTAAACAATAATAGTTTAAATAATCAAAATTTTAACGTATCTACAAATGGTAACAATGGGTTAAAGAAACTCACCTATTTTAAAGTAACCTTCCCCAATGAATAATTTATTAACTACTTTTGTAATTATATACCCCATAACCCTGGAGTTATAATAAGTAATATAAATGACCCAAGAAACTGCAAAAACCAAACTGCAAAGCAGCATAGCAAAATTCGAATCCATTTTAATATCCTCCAGATTTAAATGTTTTGTTGTTATATTGGGCGCAGGAGTAAAATACTCGGGAGGTAGAGTGGACCCCATTTTTAATATCAATTTTCTGCACTAGGATGTATTTATTTCTTTACACCTAAACTACATTTTATTTTTATACATAATATTCTACGATGTGTGGTATTTTTTTACACTGTTTTTATTATTACATTTAACTTTTGACCCATTTTGACATTTCATTTATCACTGACTGCAGTGATTACAATTGCCGTCAACTGTCATTTTGTGAACTTATCACTTTTTTCCATTTTTTAACACATATATTTGGTTGCATAACACGTAGATACGTTATTTTCATAAACTTTTCCATGTGAAAACTGGAATTAAATTAAATTTAGTTTAACATACTGTATGGTCAAGTATTTAACTAACTATTTCTGTCTACGTTAAGGGCTTAAAGTTGTTTCTCTTCATGTGCCTTTGTTTAAAGTAAAATCATTTTTACTGATAAAGTTTGGGCAAAGAGATTTGAAGAAAAACTACTTTAAAGTTGATGTCAACAAAAATAATTTCTTAAAAAAAACTCTATTCTTTATTTCGATATTTTGCCAATATTCAACAAATTATCTAACAAAAAACATTTCTTTTGACGGTCTTATAGGTACACTACTACTCCTTTCTTATTAAGACAGTCATATAAGTTTTTTTAACATAATGATTATAGTAGGATCTGCAAGTTTAGCTTATATACATATTATAATAATTACCTACCTTTCTGCACATATTTTTATCTTGGATCATATCCTAAATATTATTTTCCACAGACATGTCTTGCCTAACCGTTCAACACCATGTTAATACTCTTTAGCACTTCCCGATCAGTTCCACGACCTAATTTCCTATAATTTATCTAACCATGCTTAGGTACCTTTTTTCTGTTAGTTATATTTGTCTACTCATCTATCTAAGTACGTGGAGAAGATAGTAGGAAAGCACGAGGAAAAGAGTGATAAATGAGCTTCCAGAACCCCAATCCGAAGCCTGAAACTGCATAAATTTATAATAATAATAATAATAATAATACAATACAGTAAAATAACATTGAATAAAAAGGTAATCATTATTATAATACATGTAACTGTACTACACACACTAATGACCTAATTCTAGAGCATAAAAATAACCTGTTTCTCTATAATATAAAACTACGTGTTCTTGATATCTAATATTAATTTTTATTAAAAACGATACTTGTGAATAAATACTTAGACATAATATTTGAGATATTAGAAGCAATTGTCCAAAGGTATATGATCCCTTCGAGAGCCCTAAGAACTTATCGTGGTAATATATGTGCCTCTTTATGCTCGGCCATAGCGGCTAATTTTGTGAGGTGAGTATATTCGAGAGAAAACTAATTGGGTACTGCTCAACTTCGATTTCAAATGACACCAGGTTTCATTAGCCTTTCATACGGGACGCTGAAGAGAATCATCACTCTTTTACTATTCTTGTAAGACAAGAAAGGAGCAAGTATCCTATTGGAGCAGCGAGTATGACCATAAACTTAAATATACAGTACGGCCGCTTTATCTAGGTACTGTCTGCAAAACACGTTTGTTATCTTGAAAACAAACCGATTGGGGCAAAATTAACAAAATACTGGCGGCTATAAATTAAATTTGGTTATACGTATGGTTAAGCATACATAAAAGCAATTGCAGATCGTATATTTCAAAGGGCCGTTTGGTCTAGCAGACCTTTCCATATTTCGACGTGAAATATCTTTTGTGTATAATAATTTATATATGTATCTTTTGGATAGGTTTTAGCGCTTGCTGTTTAGCCTTTTTTGGGTCGAGGCCTTACTCCAGTAAGTACTTAACTCTTTTCCTGACTGAGCCACTTATTCTCGTTCGCTCGACTAGTTTAAGCCCTTGCCGATCTTCACCGCAGTTTTTAGTTGTTTGTTCCTGGTGCATTTATTCTGCCGGCGGAAGGAAATAAAAGCATAGTGTCACCTAGTAAACGGAGTTGATTGGTCCTTAGCTTTCACCCAATCATACTCACAGTAATGAGCATGACTGGGTGAAAGTAATTCCGATTATGAAGATGAATCATAAGGATAAAATATAAATTTAAAATCATCTTAAATAATGATAAAACTAAGAGTTTTGTAAACGATATTGCGTTATGGCCAGAATACCATTAAGTATATAAAAAATCCACCAAAATCAAGAAATGGATCTTTGGAATCATCTTCTATTCGATACAGCCTGCAGCGAAAGGTTAAAACAAATCACAATACAATTGACTATTGCCTCTTCTTCAGAACAATTAATAGCGGAGAAAAATTTAAACGAGATCGGTTGGCTTTGTAACGTTTCAATCAACCGATTGAACGTGACACCAAGCTCCGCTTGGTACTTGTGCCCTGTACTATAATATTCCAAAGCGACCTCACTACATTATAAATATTTTTAGTAGCCGCGATACTCTATATAAGCCGATACGAATCTTTATTCGTTCTTTTTCACTCTAATACAATTGCTACAACCATTCTTAAATTGGTTAGTGTCTTGGTCGTATAAGTAAGTATCTTTTTTTAGTTTTAGGCCTCTGTTTTTTCTTGTTTTATTTTGCGTGGCAGATTCTTTCTTAAAATAAAGCTGAAATCTTTTTAACTTTTATTTTTTTTTTCTGTATACATGTACCTATTTTACCTTATTTTCCTTAATATCTTATTAATAGAAATCTTTTCATACAAATTTATTTCTATTAATGCCACGCTGTGATCAGAGATTTTGCTAAGATCGTTTCTCTCTGAATTCTCAGCTTTATTTCTGATCAGGCTTTTCTTTTGGGAGAGAACTGATCTTTGTTTGAATTTTCTAGCCACTACCTGGGGAGCAAGATAACAGCCAACCACAATACCTTGGGCAACAATCAGCAACCAGATACAAAGCCACTGATGCATCAGGACGGAATTTGAAATCCTCTTGGTCACATGGAAAAAAATGATTGCCATTATTTAGACCAGCAACTCTCTTTAAATCCACCGACAGCGGCTAGATTCAACAAGGATCGGAACACTTCCTGAAAGAATGGACAACTCATTCTGAACAAAATAAAGCTGAGTACTTTTCTTATATTTTAGTTATTCCATACCGGCAACCGGTTTAATCTTTGGGTCACAGCTTATTTATCTTTGTTTCACATTCATAATATAAATTTTGTTCTTTTTTATTTAATAAATAAATATTACTTTGTTATGGCTTAACAAGTATTTTTATTTCCTGTACCTTTCTGGGATTGGTGTAGAGGGAGAATGAACAGGGAACGAACCCAGGGCTGAGCAGTCCGGCAGAGCACCATTCTGGTGAATGGAACGGTGGGCATTTTTCTCTTGAATATCCTTAGGGATATTCGAAGAATTTCTCCCCTAGTTTCTTCCCGCAGTGTGGTGTTGCTTAACGCCCTGGTCTTGATAAGATTAGACGTTACAGCTTCTACTGAAACCAACAACTTATTGTACTGTTACGTCTGCTAATTATTTTCCAAGCAAACAACGCTAATGATAAAAGAGACGAATAATTGGAAAAATTTAGACTAGAATTAGAAGAAATAAGTTCAGGAATTGTACGAATTTTTTTAAGGTCCTGCACATAGGTGAAATTCATTACAAAAAATTTGTAGGAACAAATACTTGAGTGTTAAACCTATTTGTGAGACTTTATCTGTAGACGTGTAGACTATCTTTACTCGTAAAGGAAAATTATGAAGAAACTAAACATTATTTTCCTCATTTTTCCTCAAACATTCCTTGATACATTTGAGTACGTACTGTTACTTACTTAATTGTAAATATTTTAGAGATAGTAAATCAAGTCTCTTCAATTTTTTGTACATGGATATTATTTTTTTCCTATATGCTATATGCTTTAAAACCAGACTACCGAACGCAAAGTATGTGTCATGAGTGTCATGACTGAAAAATAGGCCCGAAATTACAATGTTGCCTAGGGATTGCTTTAGCCTTGGTCCGCCATTGCAATAGACAGCCGTAGACCTTCTCGATAGAACTCCTGTATATTAGATCAGGGGACTAACAAAGGCTTGGCGTAACTTTGCCTCCTCCTTAAAGGATGGGTCCTCCTAGAACCTTGTCGGAACTGGAACTGCTATGAATGTTGGCATCGGCAACTGGACTCTCTTTTACAACTCTGAGTTGTATAAAAGTGGCAAGGGACGGTTTTCGCTCCGCACCGTGCAAACCATGCCAATTGCAAAGACTAGTACCTGACTTCGGTATCTTTAAAGATTACTTCCGTCCTGTTCTGAAGAACTTTCCAATCCAATTAGCGGCATTCTAGCTTTGGTATGGCTAATTTTGCACTTTTGACAGCATTTGAGAGTTTCTAAGCTTTTCCGAAAGCTGGTAGTTGGCATTGAAGTTCCAAGCTTCCTTCCGTCGGTGAGTAGTAATCTGGAAGTGAGAATAGATCTTGCTTTTCTTCAAAGGTAACATCATGTCTTGCTTTACTGGTACCCCCAATGCCCCCATAAATTCCTCAAACGTGAGGACAAGTACTTCTTGGACTTGTTTTACTTCCACTTCTTCACCTACGTGGTGGTCGCCTTCTAATGGCTGGTTATGGTCTATTATCATCGATTTTTCTTTCGAAATCATGCTTATTATGTAGATGGCATTTTAATCTTCCCTCTATAAGGTATGGACCTTCCCAGAACTGCAACAACTTGGGAGAACAATTCTTTCGCTTTTTTGGATTATAAAGCCATAGTTTGTCATTCGTCTTAAAACATCCCTTTTCAGTTTGCGTATCATACCGTTTCTTCATTCGGTCGCTAGCGATCTGAAGATGGGAATGGACCAACTTGTGTATATCGTCCATTTTTCTTAGGAATTCATTCACATAATTCTTCACCAGCTACATCTTCTCCAGGTCGACATCCAAACTCTAGATCACAACGTAGTCGCATCTCGCGTCCAAATAGGACTCTTGTTGGTGTTTAGCCCGTTGATTCATTAACAGCGCATCTGTAGCCATTGTGAAGACCGGCAGATACTGATCCCAGTCTTGCTTGTGATTGGACATCATTATTGCCAAATACTTGCCAACTGTCTTATTCATTCACTCTACCACTTCATCCGATTGCGGGCTGTAAGTTGTAGTGTGTAAGTTGTAGTTCTTGTTTTCTTCCTGCCTAGTCTATCACAGATTCCCTGGAACAA